AAAGCTTCAGACACACAGTTCACTGGCAATGGAATCCGTCACAAACCGGAAGAACTGTCCAAGAAGAGCAGCATCTATCGATCAGTACGCCTACGGCTTCCCCTTCATTAAACAATCCATTTAGCCCGGAAAGGCTCATTTCACCGAGGTAGTCGCAGAAACAAGCTCCCATTTCTGTCCGTCGCCGTCTGTACGTTCTCGGTTCCCGTTTCTGCATTTATTTTTATACCGTATTTAAATACGAAACACCTCTTAACTCCCAATGGATTCAAGCGGATTCCTGCCCTGTAAATTTGTGTATGTTTATATCGTCGTTTTATCTTTCATTAAAAGATGCAGAATCTTGTGGCTTCTGTAACTGTTGACTTTCATGACAGCTGAGAAAAAGAGAATGCTCAGAGAGCATCCACAAAAGTAGAGGAGCAATTTAAACAGTTGCCCTGGCCCTAGCCGGTTTGGCTCAGTGGATTTAGCATTGGCCTGGGGACTGAAGGGTCCCGGGTTTGAATCCAGACCCTGGTCAGGGCCCATGCGGGAGGCAACCAATCGATGTGTCACATCGATGTTTCTCTGTCTCTCCCCCTCCCTTCCACTCTCTCTAAAAAAACCAATGGAAAAATATCCTCAGGTGAATATTAAAGAAATAAAAATTTAAAAAAAAAATTTTAAATAAAATAAATGATTGCCCTGGGTTTCAAGACAAGCTTCGGTGGTACAGTAACCGGGACAGATTGAACGTGTTCGATCCTTTTTCTCCCTTGATAAATCAACCTCAATGGGACTTTGACATTTTCAGAGCTATTCATAGGTCTTTCTGCCTCATTATGAATATGCATCTCTCTATGTTTTGCTGGTGGATATTTTATTAGAATTAGGTTTGAGTGTGACTTCCCAACTCCAGGGCTGATTTTATTTTATTTATTTTTAAAATATATTTTTATTGATTTCAGAGAGAGAGGGAGAGAGAGATAGAAACATCGATGATGAGAGAGAATCATGGATGGGCTGCCTCCTGCACGTCCCCTCACTGAAGATCCACAACCCAGGCACGTTCCCTGACCTGGAATTGAACTCTGACCTCCTGGTTCATAGGTCGATGCTAGCTGGGCCCATTTAAGCCTTTCATGCATATCGAGTTTGTGAGTGGTGTCAGAGAGGGGTCTACTTTTATTCTTTCACATGTGAATATCCAATGTTTCCATGACCATCTATTAAAGAGATTTTCTCCACTGAGTATCTGTGGCCCCCTGGTCTATCTAACATGAGTTGATTGCATATGTGTGGGTTGATATCTGGGCTCTCGATTCTATCCCGTTGGTCTATGTCTGTTTTTCTGGATGCCTACCTTTTCTGGATCTGACCAGAAGGTGTTGCTGGGAAGTTTTTCAGACAACGATTGAGTCTCTTATTCCTTCCTCAGGTGGTCTGTTAGTGAAAGCAAGGACGGCTGCCGTGGTCCGTTCCTGCACAGGCAATTGCAACCCAGGGCTGCCCACACAGAGAGTGACAGCTGAGACAGGCGATAGTGAGTGAATGTGACTCTTGATCATAAGATGCATCCTGATTTCAGGAGAGCGCCATGTGCGGGGAAATGTATGTCTTCGAGTCCTTGGGTTCGCTGCTCATTATTGATGGCATCTTGGGTAACAGCAAAAATGTTTAAAGCTCAAGGTTTGGAGGAAGAAGAGAGCCTTGCTGTCTAAGTCATAGAGATTGATTACTTTGTGTTTTTTGAAACATATTGATGTTTGCATTTATTTATTTTTTTTTATTGTTAATCCTCACCCGAGGATATTTTTCCATTGATTTTTAGAGAGAGTGGAAAGGAAAGGGAGGGACAGAGAGAAGCATTGATGTGAGAGAGACTCATCGATTGGTTGCCTTCCACACATGTCCCTACTGGTCCGGGGACCTCGAGCGTGCAACCCAGGTACATGCCCTTGACCCGAATCGAACCCAGGACCTTTCAGTCCCTGGTGTGCCATGCCAGCACGGCCAAGGGTGAACCTGAGGTGGGGTGGTGAAGGATTGAGAAACGACAGACGAGAGAATGAAAGCTGGGTCTCGGTGGGACCTGCCCCTCTGGTGGACAGCGCCCGCGCCCACATGCCGTGTCTTTATTTTATAGCAGATTCCACGAGGCAAAGTAAGAGCGTGGTCAAGATGTTTACAACATTCTCGTGGGTTTCGATCCTACTCAACTACATGCACCTGAACTCCACCAAGCCCACATCACTCAGGCACGTGGGGCCACGTGTTCGGACCACAGGTTCAGGCTTACAGCTATAGCCATTGGCTATAATTATGCTGGGAGGGCCCTGCCCTCCAAGCTGGGACTTGCACGTGGCCATGAGAGGACTGTGCCCTCTCGTTAGTCCAAGGCTTGAACCTGTCCAAACACCGTAGCTGCTCTCCACACCCGGGGCCGATGCCCTATCCACTGAGCCAAACCAGCAGGTAGGGCGATGTTTGCTTCTAGAGGCAGCTTCTGCTCATCTCAGTCACCAGGCCACTCTCTGAGCTGGTCTTTCGTCACCATTTGATTTCCTTCATTTTCTTTATCCTTCCATGAACTTGGGTCAGTGGGTGAGTGTGTATCACAGAAGGTACAAGGACGGTAGAATCTACCCTTGACTTTTTATCTTTGAATAAAACCACTGATGCTGGCACAAACTCACACCATATTCACCTACATGTAGAAACACTCTACACCAGTAGAAACGTGACCCTCGTGAGAGAGGCGTCAAAGTCACTGAAAACTCCTTCAAAAGGAGAAAAAATCCATGTGCTTTCTGAGTCCTAGGGATGGGGAGATGGAGTCCATTTCTAACTATTTAGCAAGTCTGACACCTAGTGGTCAGTTGGTATTTCTCAGGCGCCTACAGTACATCTGGTCACCTTGGCTGTGATGGGAGCAGAGCCCTGACCGGTGGAGTCAGTGCCACTGGGGGAAATCAGGAAAGTCACTCGGATGTTTGTCCCACCAACAGCAATATGGACTCAAAGACATGAGTTCCAGGCGGTCACTTCACAAGGAAGAGGGGGACAGAGGAAGAGGAATGGGCATGTTTCTTAGTAATAACCTCAATTTTACAGGAAACCGGGTGTCAGGGACTATACTGAAGGCTTCCAACATCATTGTCCTCTCGGCCACCTTGAAAAATAAGGCTGTTGAACGCTGACGAAATAGGTAAACGACTTGTTGAGTTGCCCAAGTTCTTATAACAAAAGTTAGTAGGTTCAAATTTCTCTCCTAAATCCTGTGCTTTCTTGTGAGGCCGTAGTCACCCAGCACATTGTAGCAGGCAGAGGGAGAGGGTATGAAAAATCTTTCCTCTCTGAGTCTGGCATTACAATGGGGTAACAATAAGCAATAATTGCATTATTAGATATTTATATTATTCATGAATATTATACAAATACATCATAAATTATTATCCATGAGTGGAAGAAGACAATTATAAAAATCTCTGCCTTAATACAGAGTTCTTGATTTTATTTGCTGTTCAGTTGACACGGGTGTGTATGAGTTGTTGTTGTTCTTAATTTTTAATTTGAACATTTATCCCCCAGTTTTACGGGGACATAATTGACATAGGCCACTGGCTTCGTTTTAGCTGTGGGGCATGATGATTGCGGAACGATTACTACAGTAAGTCGCATTAACATCCATTATGAATGATCTGAGAATCTCTCTCTGATCCCACCTGTCGTTTTTCCTTTAGGACATTATAATGTCCACCTAGAGCAGTGATGGCAAACCTATGACACGCGTGTCAGAGGTGACACGCGAACTCATTTTTTTGGTTGATTTTTCTTTGTTACATGGCATTTAAATATATAAAATACATATCAAAAATATACATCTTTGTTTTACTACGGTTGCAAAAATCAAAAATTTCTATATGTGACACGGCACCAGAGTGAAGTTAGGATTTTTCAAAATGCTGACATGCTGAGCTCAAAAGGTTCGCCATCACTGACCTAGAGCCTGTATGAGAATAGAAAGACAATCAAAGAAACCCTCCCTCCCTCCCTACCCCCATCTTTCTGACCGGAGAGCGAATTTCAGGACACAGATCACTTGTCTGTTGCTGTCTCAGTGGCCTTTGGTGGCCCCTTTCATGTCCCAAGGTTGCCCAGTAGGAGGGCGCTCTAGGCATTCTTCTCCCCCAAGCCCAGCCCTCTGAGATGTTAAATGACTAAACAAAACGGAAACAGACTCAGGTACAGAGACCAGCCTGGCGGCCGTCAGAGGGGAGGGGGGAGGGGGGCTGGGTGAAAACGGTGAAAAAATGAAGCAAAAACAAACAAAGAAAAAGCTCATAGACACAGACAACAGTCTGGTGAGAGAGAATCATTGATCAGCTGCCTGCCTCCTGCACGCCCCCCTATCAGGGATCGAGCCCACAATCCAGAGGGAAGGGGGCTGGGGCAGGTAGAAGAGGGTGAAGGGGGCTAAATGGGGATAGAAGGACACTTGGGGTGGTGGACCCAGTACAATATACAACCCTAACCGGTGTGGCTCAGTGGATAGAGCGTCGGCCTGCGGACTGAAGGGTCCCAGGTTCGATTCCAGTCAAGGGCATGTACCTTGGTTGCGGGCACATCCCCAGTAGGGACTGTGCAGGAGGCAACTGATCGATGTTTCTCTCTCATCATCGATGTTTCTAACTCTATCCCTTTCCCTTCCTCTCTGTAAAAAATGAATAAAATATATTTTAAAAATATATATATACACAGAAGTCGTGCTATGGAGTTGTACACCTGAAACCTACATAACTTCACTAACCAATGTCACCCCAATACATCCAAA